TGACCTTATACTTGTGCAGCTGCTGTAGAGTGTACCATTCTGTGAGTGATGCTTTTTTTATGAGGATTATACAAGCTATGTGCAATTGAACGCTTGTGTCCACTATCAGTGCACCTTAAAGTAGCTGCATTCACCAATTAGAGGGTGTGTCTGCAGGCACATGCACATATGAAGCACAGAAGTGACTTTAGCTCTTGCCCCTTGGTCCTTAGATTGTACAAGTGCCCTCTTGGTTGGTAGAAGTAACATTTATTTTTAATAAGGCCATTCTTGAAGATCTCTTCCAGCGATGCCCTGGGAAAAGAGCTCATGGTTTGATTCAAGTTCCACAGGCTTTGTCGTTCTTGGGCCTCCCTCTGGAGATTTCAGTAACAACAACCTTTCATGGATGTATGCTGGAAGTATTGCCTTTGAAGCACTGATAATCTATGTAATGTATGTTTTTTGTGAACAACAACCGAAAGGGATTAAAATGAGCTAATAACATACAAAAAAATTATTTATTTTGGGCTCCACTGAGCTTTTACATAAAGTTCAACTCTGACGTTTATAACATTCAGATAGCCTAATGGGGAATGTTCACTGGAGGTTGGGGTTTGAATTCCTGTTCAAACAGTAAAGGCAATATTTTTGGTTGCCTTGTGAAAAACTCTGACCACTACGTTTGGTTTCCTCTGAAACATAATTACACTCTCTTGGTAAGTGTTTGCAGTATGCTGTAAATTAAAATAAGTTTAAGTCACCTCAATATTGCCATTTTCCTTGACCCCCTGCCCCCACAAAAATGTCTGTGCATGGGCCTGGGATTCTAGGTACTTTTGGGGAAAAACAAACTGAAATGTCTAATCACAATGTGTTTAGGAAAGACTTAGCCCTGCAGTTAAACATTAAAGTGCTTTTGATTGTTTTCTTAGCAACAGCAGAGAGCAAGGCCCTGTCTTATTTACGCCAGTCACGATGCTACAGCAGTAACTGGAGATGGACCCAGGCACTGGCAGTTGGGAGTGAGCTTGGTTTCTTTCTGTTTAGCCACGTGGAGTAGAGGAGCAATAGAGCAGGTGCTGCTTTGGAGTCTGGGCCTTTGCGATGTGTGACCGAGGCTGTTATTTGTCACTTATATAATTCCCTGGAAATTGAATCAGGTCTGGCCTAGTGCTTCACATCCGAATGTAATTGTAGGTGACTGAACAACACTTCCTGTCCCAGTTCCTTCTCCATATGAAGCAGTTGCTGTGTGTTCTCTTACCAAGCTTACATGATGTCACATCCTGTAGTATTTATTATTGTTACACAATTGGCTCAGTCACAGTTCAGTGGACTCTCTGTGTACCTGTTTATGATGGTGATGTTATTCTTCATAAAAAGTAATAAAACTGCCAGTATGACACACCCTGAATGATGGAACATGCAAATCGCTTATTTCTTCAATTGTATTTGATCTGCAAATTATGCAGATTCAAAACAGGAGTTAGTTTTGAATTGTAGTTCTTTTTAAAGTAGTGTAAAGATTATAAGACGTCTGCTTTTTTTCTGTCATTAAGTCCTGTTTATTATTCCCTGTGGTGAAGTTCTTCTTGTCCCAACCTAGGTAGATGTTCTCTTGTGTTCTTTGAGTTTTTCATATGCTATTATGATGGGCTTTACTGTGTACTGAACTACCTCTGACACAAGGACACATTCTATTTTAGGATTAGGCCAAAAACTTTGTGACTGATGCAGCTTTTAAGCAGCTAAAAATTTGGATAACCAGTTATATCGGCTAAAATAACGTTTTTTTTTTCTCCAATAGTTTTAAATACACTGTGCTTTACTAACTGATAGTTATCAGCTATGAAATGGCAGCATATTAGTGTCAGCTGTCAGTGATTCAGTTCTCATTTCACAGTTTAATCTTAAACAGCAAAACCTCTGAAAATCTCAAATAACACAAATAATGTAGCGAGAAAGAGGGGCAGAGCTTGGTTTTGGTTTCTGTTGATGACAACTTGTTATCCTCATACAATAAACACAGAGAGAACATGTGAGCTTGACTGTTGAGTTTTCTGTTTTTCAGCAAATATCTATATAGTGGCCTCTCTCTCCACTCTGTAATAAACATACATAACGTTACAGGCCTTGTGTACTATGTGTACTGTGTATGTAATTGAGAACAGGTGTGGTGGAGGAGGACAGGAGTGGATTGTCTGGCCGATCTCTGATGGATTCCACAGCTGGGAAAAACACATGCTGGCTAGCTAAACTCCGCATAGAGTTTGCAATGACTTTCTCTGCAGTCAGGTGGCTTAAACGGCTCTGTTTATACGTTCACTTCAGGAGCTGTTAGCACACAGAGTAGAGATGGGAGAGTGTGGAAAATTTCCTCTCATCATCAGTCACCAAAATCATCATGGTAAAATCATTTCACTATAGGTATTAAATTAATAGACTTAGAATATCTTCTGTTTCTTTTATCTATTTACACCAAAAAAAAAGGTTGACTACAGGTTAAATAAATGTGACGTTATCGCTGGTATTGCTTCCGGTTAGTGTAACTATGTGTTGTTCTGGCATGTGTTTATGGGGAGACTCGCAGTAGTATCACTGGACTTTGGACACCATTGTATATTGATAAAACACTGCTGTGGATGTCTCTGCTTTAAGATCAGCTTCTTTTCTTACCAATCATGCATATCAAAAGAACTAATCAGAAAGTGCTGTTTTTTCTTATATTAAAATAATTGATATAAAAAATAATGTGTAATATTCATTGTTTGTTGTGCTATAAAAGGTCTTTGTCAGTGTCTGCTTCTGACATCCTTTAATAGTTGTATGTAAAACTCATATTCACTTTTTATGAAACAACATCAATTAGATTTTCTCAATGGCTTCTTGTCTTTATCCCTAGGTCAGCTGAGACCAGCCCAGAGTTTGTACCGTTGCAAATTATTATATTTTGTTCAATAATGTTTCTCTAACTTATACCAAAGGAAATCTTTGTACTAAACCAACGGAACATCTGTTATCTTTTTGCTGTGAAGATCAGCTGTGCTGAAAGCTCTACGGAGGACTGCAGGTCAAATTGAGTTCTGTGGTTTTGTGGTGAAGAGTTAACAGCAGGTGAATAGATTCTCAGATCATGAGAGATTTCTTTTGGAGAGTCATAGGGAGATTAAATGCCCCCAGTTCTTAACCTGCGATGAACTACATACTGCCTAATGAACAGCCTGGAAAGCAAGAGGGAACAGGCAGGGATAGCAGCGGGTGGTCTCAGCTTAGCACAGGAGAGTGCTCCATTTTTTATCTTTATGGCCTGTTTGTGTGTGTGTGTGTGTGTGTGTGTGTGTGTGTGTGTGTGTGTGTGTGTGTGTGTGTGTGTGCGTGCGTGCGTGTGTGTGTGTGTGTGTGTGTGTGTGTGTTTGTGTAGAGAGAGAGAGAGAGAGAGAGCATGCACACACGAGAGAGAGATAATGTAATCTATACCTTAAGTATATAATGCATTGTAATTTCTACAACTTAAAGGTGTAAGGGAAAAAATGCTTCAGTCTCAAGGAGGCGATTCATCTGAATCAATTTTGGAATCTTAGATTTGTTTATAATAGTTTATAATAATATCCAGTTATCCAGTTATGGTTGGGGCCATAAAAAATAAAATTCTCTGGCTATTTTCAGACATAAAAAGCCCCTTGTTTTATTGCTTATAGTCACCACTGTATAACAAGTTCCATAAGTCTCATTTGTTTGTTCAGTGTATTTTTAAGCATAATCTACATTACACTAGAATAATCATATCAAACTAAATGATGGTGAAACGTGAAGTTCCTTGATGCACTGAATCATTACGTAAAGATTCATAATCAAATTTTCACCCCTCTTTAATGAATACATTTTCAACACCATTTACTCTCTGTAAAAAGCCTGTGAATTAAAGGTTAGTACATGTCATATCAGCAAGAATGGCATATGAATAACATCCATTATTGATGAGAAGTTACATTGCATGCCAAGAAAAATGAAATTTATAGCAGCTAATTGCAGCTATTTGAAGTTCAGAGGTGTCTTACTGATTTGGCCGGGAATGACTGTGAGGTTTCATTCAGGTTCTCTTCCGTCAGTGCTTGTGCCAAAGTCCAAGTGTAACTGAGAGAATGGGCTGTACTCAATACTTTGAAGTGTAGGAAGTTGCTTAAAATCTGTGTTTGTGTGTGTGTGTGTGTGTGAGACTGAGACTGAAACTGAGACTGAAAGAGTAAGCAAGAGAATCAGAGAGACAGAAAGGCTGTGATTGAAAAAAAGACTGAGAGAGAGAGAGACAGAGAGAAAGAGACTGAGATTGAGAGAGAGACAGAGGCAGAGGCAGAGTGGTACTCCCAGATCATAAGGACTGATTTCTCTAACATTTTTTGTTTCCCTGTGTGTGATTCATTCATTATGTGATGGGAATGTCTCTCTTTTTTCATTCTCTTTATAAAGTGAAAGTGAAAGCAGCAGTTTGTCGAGCACACTCACTCCCGCATGAGGAAATAAGAGCTGACCTATGAGTTTCAGAATTCAGAAGCACTTCAGCCTTTCTTCCCACTCACTAGATTAAAACGACAGAATTGAATGAATTTCAAATTTCATGATTCCTCAAAGGGGACGGCAGTCACTTGTTAGTGTCACTTAGTACTTGAATGTAGCATTTGTTAATGAACCATATTATTTAACTGAAAGACAAAAATATCAAATCGGATTTGGCATCAAATAAGCACCATCAGAAATAGTTCTCTTGCTCAGTGGCCCCTTAGTAATCTGGGCTGTGCTGATGAATGGCTGTGTCAGGCCTGTGTGTATATTTGTATGACTTTGACTGCAGTGCAATGCGAGACTGTTGATTGTACGAGCATTTCTTTTCGTTTTCTGTATAATAATAAAGGTCGCTGCCTTGTAGAGATAACAGACCTCATTGTTCTGTTCTTTTTCCATCTCTTTCTTCATTCATCTTCATGATCACATCTGCCTTTCTATCCTCTCTTTCTCTGCAGCTCTCAGGTGGGTGTGAGTTGACGGTGGTGCTGCAGGACTTCGTGGCCGGTTGCTCGTCTGAGCTCAGTGTGCAGACCGGTCAGACAGTGGAGCTGCTGGAGAGGCCAAGCGAGCGTCCAGGATGGTGTTTGGTCCGCACCACAGACAAGAGCCCGCCGCAGGAGGGCCTGGTGCCCAGCGGAACTCTCTGTATCTCCCACTCCCGCAGCAGCGTAGAGATGGACTGCTTCTTCCCTGCAGGCAAAGGTAAGAACCACAGCCAACGGAACATTCCTCCTCATTTAGTCGCAAGTGTTACATTTTTGAGAAATAATCTTCGAGTGAGAGCACATGCATAATCAAATACTCAGTCAATGGTTCCAGGTGCCAGTGTTGAAATACTGAAATCAGAAATCAGGAGTTTTCAGTATTCAGGTTACAATGCATCATAGAAAGTCAGGGAGAAAATAAGGTATAAATAAGAAAAGCCAATGTCTGGCATTTTTTGACTCATTGTGTGACATTCAGAACAGCTTTTCATGAGCGAAAAAACAAAACAAAACCTAGTATCTCCAAAATATTATTCGGAAATTATTAAGGAAAGCATTTTTAACTTTTATGTAAGTTCATGTAATAAAATTTTAATGCAAGTTATTGTAGCAAATGTTTATACATTTTATCAATATTTTAGACCATTTCTGTTGGTCCATTTATCATGAAGTGTTTTTCAGAATGTAAAGGGCAGCTGGCATTTTCAAATGATGATTAATTGCACGATATCATGAAAGGACAAATCTCTTTTTGATGGATTATGTAAACATTGCGAACATTTTGAAACATCCTGTTTGCTCCCCAGTCCATTAAATTTGTTGTTTTTATGAGGTCACAAAAACATATTTACATACATCCACCTAATTACCTACAACAGCTTATCTCTGCTCATTCCCGCTGAAGTTATAAGGATTGTTTCGGCCCAGGCTACTTTTTGAATGAAGCACAGTGCAGAGCAGCCAGTTAGAACAGAGGTCATTTACGTGTTTCAGCCGTAAAGGCACTGTAACAGAAGCAGCCTGTTTAATTCTTAGGGATAAGGTGGGGTTGGAAATAGGCATGTAAAAATGAATTTAATCTGTTTTTATTGAGCAAAACCACACAAACATTACAAGTAAACCTTGGAACAAATGCAAGAAAAATGTAGGATGGGGACTATTTGATATTAGCTCTTTGATTAAAAAGTCCTTTTTTTCTGACCAGCAGTTTACTGAATATCTGTTCATTAACTCTTATAGATACTCAAAAATCATTTGATCAACTTAGTCAGAATATACATCCCTTCATTGATTATTTCCCCTCTTTTGTAAAAAGTGAGCTTTAATGTCTTGCTTCAGTTCCCCTAGGGGGCGACAACCAACTTTAAGTTAGAGATTCCACTTGTTATGGCTGAATGAGCATAGCCTCTGAAGAGCACTTGACCTTTAGCTCTACATTAGCACGTCCCTCTCAGGAGCACTCAGCATGGCTCAAAAATGAGCTCACAGGCTTCATCTGAGTGAGAGTCATCTGTGTCTGAACGTCATAATGCTTAAGAACTCCCATCTTTCCTTCATTTTGTCTTTCTGTCCATGCAGTATAACTGAATGGGGCTGACAGTAGTGCTAACATTCATCATTCTCCTTCATCATTAATGCAGGCATTACTAGCTTGTGCTGAGGCATTACTATGAGCTATAATGTGATCTAATCCAGTAGTGTTGTTGCAGTCTGGTATACAATATGCACGTGGAGGAGGACCCACTCTTAGAATGTCTTAAAAAGCTGATATAGTTTGTTTTGAGTGGACTCTTCTGTGCTTGTCTTAAAGGGCCCATATCATGAAAAACAATAAAACAGATGTATTATGTAAACATGGTTAAAGTTTTAAACACAAAGTTCACTCCCCAGTCCATATGACTCATGTATGGAAATCACCCTGTGAGAGCAGCCTGTTTTGAATTCATTGGTTTTTTTGTGATGTCACAAAAACCAGTGCACGTAAATCTGCCTTTTAAGCCTACAGCAGTTTAGCCCCACCCATTCACCATTGCATCCCAGACTGCTTTTTGAATGAGACAATACAGTGAGGTCAGTCACAACAGAGGTCATTGAAATATGTCAGTCTTTAAGGCATAGTAACATAAACACCCTGTTTTATTTTAAGAGGTGAAGAGAGGTTGGAAAATGGTCCTGTAAAAATGAATTACAACTGTTTTTGGTACACAAAACCACACAAACATTACAAGCTGACCTCAGAGGAAAAAAGTAAAAAACGAAAAACATGTAGGATGTGGATCCTTTGAAACACCATCTTTTATTCTTCTCTTACACCAAAGCCATACACAGTGTTGTAAGCGTATTGTAAAGAAACCACATTTGCAGAAAAGAAACACTATTTATTTCATTTTCTTGTATTTTGAATATACTTTTTTCTTGAAGCAATCTGAAACACTTAGCAAGTGACGTACATTGCAGTGCTGCTTTAGATACCTTCAATAAAGTGCACAAACTTGAACGTCAACTGCATGACAACAGAGGCATCCCTGTTTTGTAGACATTATATTATGATGTGTCAGCATCATTTGAATGTCCCTGAAACTGAAAAGCAATATCATTGTGAGACAGTTTCACTATGTCAGTATGTAATATATATCTCTCTGCACTTTGCAGAAGTATATTTTTGTGTGTTATTTCTTAGTGACCATAGGACAATAGGTGGTGAGCTCCCTCGTATTGTGTATGTGTCTCTAAGGAGGGGTCTCAGTGGAATTTATTTCTATTGTGCAGGGGAGCTTCCTGTCTCTGTGGGGCAGTGTTTCCTCCATTTAGTGGGAATCAGCCTAAAACATCCGCTGAAAGTGTGTCCAATTCTGTCACTGCAGAGACTAATTTACACCACACTCAGAAATTTGAGAATAAGAAGCTTTTTCAGACACTTGTGAATCCTTATGACAGCCAGATCAGCAAAGCCTTTTGCTTTTTATTCCAGCGTTATCATTTTTAAAGGGCCCATATCATGTGAAACTGAATTTACCTCACTTTTTTAATAAAATGTACCATCCACTCCACAGTCCATACACTGCATATATGGACACTCAGCTGCAGAAACAGCCTGGTTTGAATTAATTGTATCTAAGATGTCACAAAAACCAACAAAGCTAGCCTGCAGCAATTTAGCCTGGCCCATTCATGCTGAAGTTATAAGGAATGCTTCATCCTGACTGCTTTTTTTGAGTAAGGGAAAATAAAGAGCAGCCAGCAGTCAGAACAGAGCTGATTTACATACATCAGTCTTAACAGCAACACAACAACGGCCTGTTGAATTAGATTGGATTAAATTGGATTAGATTTAATTAGAGAGATTGGAAAATGGTCATGTAAAATTATGTATTATGACTGTTTTTGGTGCATAAAACCACACAAATAGTATAAGTAGAGCTCAGGGGGAAAATAAAACAAAAGAAAAATGTAAAATGTTGGCCCTTTAATGCCCTTTTTTACAGACGTGCATCATATCAAATCACATGTGATCAGGAGCGTGAGTATTTCAGAATGAGGAGTTTAAGAGGGTGTTCCTGTGGCTCCTGTGAATTCACTTTGCACTACTTCCTCTTTCATAGCTCTCAGTTTCTAAGAACAGCATCTCTCATGCTCTCAATGGCTCTTTGTTTTCTTAAGGAATGCTGCTGCAAACTTGCTACAGTTTGTCATCTTAAGTCATTTAAACAGGAGAAATGAAACTACTTCAAAATGTGTTTAGTCAGTATTTGTTGGAGTTATAATTGGCACATAGATGTTGGGTGAAATGCCACTTAGAGAAAAATAATGGAGGTTCCCTCATCCATTTCCCTTTTCTCGTTTTGTGGTCTCTTAAACTGATCCCATGCTGGCCTCAGTGCTGCCCTCATAAACCTGAACTCAGGGTGGTCACTGAGTAGTAGATCAGGAATCTCTCATAGTAAAGATTGTGCTGTTAGCTCATGGCGTGTGGTCTTTGCGCTGTAATTATGGTAATGTAATTATGATGTTATCTGCAAATGTATTTTACCTTAGCTTAGCTTACCTTACCTTTAAAGGGAACAAATATAAGTCCTTATGCTTCTTTTATATGCAATTCTTTTGCTGCAGTATGACATCAGGCACGTAGGACAGCCTGTGCTGTGCAGTTTTATGCCATGTTTATTTTAGGAATAATCTCATTTCCCTAAGCAACTCGCTTTCCACGTTCAGGCATCTTTCCCCCGAGCACAGCAAGTGTTATCTTTCCCTAGCCAAATGCAAACCACGGCTTACCACATCACACCAGTCACTGCTATCCAATATGGAAATTACAACAATACGCCCAAATAACCTGCATCGCAGTGGAAACGCTGTGTGTATTGTGCAGTTCACCATCAGACCTGGGACACAATAGTAAATTCCAGCAGAATGTATGCATCACTGTGCCAGTGTTACAAACTTTCCATCTTTGATATGCTTTTCCACTCTGGCTCATCTATGTGTCAGTGTGTAGTGGCAGTTTGGCCTGACTTACACTCTCAAATACACTATATGTCAAAAGTTTCTAGATACTAGATGCTTGGGCAGCATTGAATTCAAGAGTAGTAATAAGGAATTTGTCCCCCTTTGCTGCTGTAACAGCCTCTACTCCTCTGGAATGGCTTTACACTAGATGTTGTAACATTGCTGTGAAGATTTGATTGCATTCAGACACAAGAGCGTTAGTGAGGTCAGCTACTGCTGTTGAATGATTAGTTCTGATTCTAATTAGATGGTGTGTCTGGATACTTTTGGACATGATGCCCAATCACCACTCACGACTCTTGAGTTGCAGAAAGCTTGGTTTGTTGTCTCCTAAGTTGAGTAAAATGGAAGTTCAACTACAATAAACTTTGTAAACTGCTTTGTTCAGCTGCTGTAGTTTAGGCCTACTTGCTGAGAGATGGCCTAATTGTAACAGTAGCTTCCTGCGTTGCTCCTTCTCTATAGCCGATGGCAGTTTACCTTCTGTTTGTGGGTGTGCTCTTATCTAGGCCAGTGCAGTGCACTTGGTGGGGACTGCTGTATTTTTGTGTGAAAAATCTGGCCTACATGGCAGATTTGAGCCACTCTCTGCTGGACACTGGCAAACTGAAGATACCACAGGGTCAGCCTTGCCTGTTCTAACATCTCACGTGCAAATGTCTTATAGTAGGAGTAAGAAGTTAGAAGTAGGAGTAAAAGCTTTTCTGCTTT